CCCCAAAACCCCAAAACCCCAAAACCCCAAAACCCCAGGATAGTATAATATTATTGAAATTAACCTCCCAAATACTCATGAATCAACCCACTGTGAAACTGGTGACTGAGATTACTGACTTGGCTAAAATTGACAGTTATGAAAAGTAAGAGTTTATATCATTGCTTAACCCTCTAGTTACCTACACCCTGATAATATCTTTGCAAGCTTAGCAGAACAGAGCTTAGAGAAAGTAAGCATTCATATTTTGATTGGAGTTTTTGGCAATCAAGCATTATCTTGAGCTTAAAATTTATGAGAATTCAAAAAATTTGGATTTTAACTATTTTTGAATAAGGATGCTCAATTGGTTTATTATCATTGGTGGCAAGAATCGTTGGGATATGAGTGATTAAGAATCGATTCATGAATAGTAGTGAATCTTCTTCGTATTCAACCAAACTCTTACATTGTTGTGTTTAGAGGATTTCGAATTTCTGGCATAAAGAGAGATATTGTAATTCAGAGAGATCATCAAGTACATTAAGTGCATTAAGAAGGGAGTCTTATTGACGAGAATTGAAGAAGTTACAAATATTTCCAATAAAAGATCTTCACTTACTCAAAAGCCAAACTCGGGCTGAATCTAAGAAAATCTGAGAAATCACCAATGCTGTAAAATATTCACAAAGATTGAGAGTGGTAAAAAGTAACTCCAACTTAATTTCAATCAACTCAAATTTGTTTCATAGATTTAATTTGTGTTTATTAAGAGCTTTGTGCTAAAGATTGCTAACATTTATCCTTACAAATTCATATAGCATCCTCTTCTCCGATTCCCTCAAATAGCCGAAGAGATGTAGCCTATAAATCAGCCTTAAGATTAGTAAAACGGTATTTCAAGAATACATACAAGAATCACATACTTGACATCAGTGAGAAAAGGCAAAAGACACTCTCTATTGATGCTGTCTGCACAATGATGCATAATATCCTCTCTTCATTGATTCCTTATGAATTTTTGACTATGGATTTGGCCTATTATACAATTGGAATAACTGGCATCAGAAATACATCAGCACTCCCATGAAGTTCGTTGATACAGAATGAAATCTCTTCTTTCCAGGTCTGAGCTAGTACTTTCTCACAACAGAAATTCCTAAGAGCTTTGGACTCAGAAAGCTTAATAACTTTGTGCTGCTACATCACTCAAAAATCTAATGATCCAAGACTAAGCGTGTTGAGGAATGAAGTTTCTAGAATCAGAGGAGAAGCTAATTAAGTCTATTGAGTTATATAATAAGCTTAGCCTCAAGATTTTGTTCAGTTGGGTTTTTGGATTTTTGAAAATTGTAGTTAATGATGCTGAGATGGCTGGTTTAGTAGAACAGAGAGGTCTTGTTTTAGATTAAAATAGTGAGAGGAGGTGCCATACTGAGATTTAGTGACGACTTTTGGAGGGAATTTAGGGGCTGAACAGGATGTGGTTGGGTTTGATTTAGAAAGAAGAGGTGAGAGCTACAATTTTTAAACCAAATTAAGACTCAAAATTATATCCAAAAGTTTGAGATTGCCATCAGAATTTCATAAGATGATGTAGCAAGGGTTATTTGTTTCGAAATGAAAGTGAATAATTAGAGGGTAGAGATTCTGATGCATTTTTGATGTGTTTAAGCTTTATAATAGTGAGATTTTAAATTTTAAGTTTCTACAGCTTCATGCAATACAACAAAGATGTTAAATTAAGGTAATGATTGATAACAGCTAAACTCTTGTTCCATCCATTTCAAAAACCCCACCGCGATTAAATAAGTAAAATGTCAATTAACAAACCTACCTAACTTAGTCTGGGTTGAACTGAATCATAATTTCTAATGATTCCATTGCTGAAATAGAATACTCTCTTCATGTGATGCAGGTATTCTAAATGCTAAATATTTTAGCTCTGGCTGGGCATCTTAGCATATCAATACCATCAGCATCCCATACCAAAATAGTGAGAGCTAATGTGCTTAAAAATCACTTTTGATTCATTGATTAAATATGGTGAAGCGTACTGTTCGCAACATTTAAGGCTTTTCTTTACTCAACAATCTGTTGTTTTTAAAGAGGTTAGCGGTAAGATATCTTGGAGTATTTATATGCTAATGAAGAGAGAAGGCATGAATATTAAGTTCTATTGTAGAGAAAATTCTTGTTGAGTTTGCTAGTTGAGGATTTAAAACAAATTTGAAAATTTTAGATAAAGACATCGGGATGAACATTCCTTGATTCCTTAATTTTCTCTAAGAAGAATAATCACTCATTTTAAAGACTATTAAGCTGTCTCTATGAATATAGACGAAATTTGCTTAAATTTTTGACATCACAAGCGTAAATCTTGTTTTATCATGATTTGATAACCCTCCCAACAAGACCTCTAGTGTCGACATCTTTTGTAGATTTCTCAAAACCTCTATTAATAACTTCACCTACATCCAATAGTCACATCTTAAGACGGCGATTGGATAGTAACTCATAGCCCCTATAGTACCTCAAAACCCAGTCTAAACACTTCACACGCCATAAACTCTTTACAATCATTCTCTTTCGTGCCTATAAACTCCTTCATGGCAAGAAGATAAGTCTCGAACAAAAAGTAGTCGAAATCAGAATTAAACTGGCTGAAGGATGCCATCTGTCTTGTGATTTGTTAAGGAAGACCAATTTTAGTTTATAGTGCTGAAATATGTGGTTGGTGGGAAGGAAGAGGGGTTGGCACTGGTGTAGGGCGTGAGTAGAGAGAAGGGAATTTGAAGGGGGATGGGTGGTAGAAGGGGGCTTTTAAGGTACTATTTTTCTGATATTTTTAACTTTCTTCACAACCAGCCATTTACTTATGGAAACTAATTTCTCAAATTTTGTAGTAACCAAGCTTCTATTTAATTTAACTTAACTTGAGCATGAGGCAACACAATAATAAATATTACTTCTGAAAATAAGATTTGGGGAACCGAGAGCATGCATGGGTAAATTTAGAAGAAGTATGCAAAAATAAACTGTATCTGGAGGTGTTTTAAGCATTTTAGCTCTTTTTTGGATTAGATTTCTGAGGTTCTGAACTTTTATATCAATCCCTCTATAAATTTTATCGTAAATGACAAATAAGTTTACCCTTCCTACCTCTTTTACTCACTAATTTAGCACTTAGTTCTATTTCCCTTTAAACACTGACTATTTCTTTTTGTCAGCCTGAGCTGGAAGTACGAGGAAGGGTTTTGAGCCCAACTTATCAATGAAACATATTAAGAAGTAAAATTTTCTTGATTAACACTCATTGGTTCAGAAATGATGGTTAGTTCTCCAATATTGCTAATTCTCAGAATTTATAATCCTCAAAAATTAGAAGTCAGGAATTAAGATGAAGTTCACCCATCACTCTGCATCATTCATTCTGAATTAAATGCTACTTTTGGCTTCTAATAAAACTATTTCCAGATTGAAACAAGCTTTACAAGATGAAAATCAAGGCATCTACATATTATTAATGCTTTTCGATGCAAGTGCTAAAATCAAATGTACGGTCAACTTTTCAACTCTTATTTTATTCATTGTTCAACACGAAATAGTGTCGGTGGGGTTTTGGGGTTTTGGGGTTTTGGGGTTTTGGGG